GTAGTCCGAGTGAGTGCAAATCACCAGTTCACGGAAGCCACAGTCCCTAGCGCTGCGTAGCACAATCACGATCCCCGCTACTTCAGCAAACTGTGAGATCCTCTCACCCAGAGAGTAACATTGGGACTCCATCTGGTCACCGTCTACCCAGACGACACCTACGCCCGCTCTAGGCGCAGGACCGTGCCGAAAAGCACTGTCATCTACGTACACGGTCGGCAAATCCACACAGAATGACTGGTCGTAGTAGTGGTGGTTGTGGTTTAGAAGAGTCTGAGGGGGGCTGGCTGGCGGGACTGATGCGATGGCGTCGTCCGAGCAGTGTTGGCACGCAGCCAAACCCATGCCAAGAGGGCTACGTCGTTCTGGGCAAAGCGCACCTCGATGTCGAAGCTTTGAAGAGCCAGCAGCCATGACGCGATCCGTGAATTGGTCACCACACCATCTCTGATGCGCTGACTGTTAAGGAAGGTCACCAGCTGGTGCTGTGTCTCAATGATGATTTTCTGGCCGCCAATGTAGTTCGCAAAGTACTTAACTGCCCACATGGTGGAAAGCAAAGCTTTTTCACAGTCTGAGTACTTCAACTCAGGCCCAGACAAGAGCTTACTAGCATAGGCTACCACACGCCTGTCGCAGTCATGAACTTGGTAGAGACCAGCACTCAAACAGTGAGCCGAGAAACCAACCTCAAGGTGGAACTCCTTGTCACAGGAGCGCCAAGCACGGAGCCGAGCACATCGCGGCCTTCAGGTCATCCATGGCCTGCTGGTGCTGCTCTGCCCACTCGAATGCCACATCCTTCTTCAACAGATTAGTCAGAGGTCATGCTATGTCAGCGTAATGTTCCATGAACTGACGCGAGTAGTTGCAGACCCCCAAGAAGCTCCGAAGTTCGGAGACGTTTGTCGGAGGTGTGATGGTGGCAATGCCCTGAATTCTGCCAAGTTGAGGCTGCACCCCCTGTGGTCCCACCAGGAGGCCAACGTACTGAACTTGCGACCTGCACCACTGTCCTTTGGCGAGAGAGATCTTTGCACCTGCCGCCGCGAGCTGACCCATGACATGGTCCAGCTCGGACAGGTGGTCATCTAATGTACGCTTACGAATAAGAATGTCGTCGACATAGATGAGGGTCCCTCGCTCTCGAGCATCGGGGCAGGCTTTGTTCAAGAAGATGTTGAACTCAGCAGGTGAGTTGGAATAACCAAAAGGACACCGGGTGAAGGTGTACTGCCGGTTGGCAAAGGAGAAGGCAAGTTTGTGTTGGTCCGATTCGTGGACGGGAATCGTCCAAAATCCGGACGCAATGTCAAGTGTGGAAAAGTACTTAGCATCTTTCACCCTTGGAAGCTCCTGCTCTAGGCGTGCCATAGGCCACCTAGACAAGGGAACCTGTTTGTTGAGTTGCCGGTAGTCAATGGTTAGTCGCCACTTACCATTAGGCTTCTGTACCGGCCACAACGGAGCCGAGTAGGTGCTGTTGCAGGGTCGAATGATCCCATTAGCCAAGAGGCTGTCAATGATTTCCTGGACTGGTCCTTGGGACGCCAGGGGAATCTTGTATTGCCGCACAAAGGTCGGCAGTGCATCTGGCCTTGTAGGAATCCGGACTTCATGGATAGTGGTTAGACCACAGTCCAAGGAGTCAAGTGAAAGAAAATCCTTGTACTTTCGCAAAAGTTGTCGTAGTTTGTCTCGCTCGACCTCGTTGGTGAGAGCATCCGCTTGGTCTTATTACATTCACAATCTGAGACAGAACTTCAGGGGGCTTTCCGGGTGGCTTTGAGCGTGGTGGTGAGCCCGTAGTCGCGGCCTCACCCGAAAGACTTGCCACAGAGTAGCGGAAGTCCGTGTCAGGCGGCGGTTTGTACGGCTTAGGCTTTCTCACACGCGCAAACAGTTGTCCGGACTTGTAGCTGATTTTAGAGTTAAGGTGTTGGAGACAGTCCAACCCTATGAGCATGGGAATGGTCATATTTTCATCGATGTACACGGGGTGTTTTAAGGACATGGCCCCTATCGAGATGTTCACCTGAGTCTTCGAAGACGCGGTCGCTGGAGCGCCACTGAAATCAGTGAAAATCATCGAGCCTGGAATGAGTGTGGGGGGTGAGAGGCCCTCCCCCCTTTTTTCGCACATGCTGTTGTAAAAACCTCCGCTCATGAGCGTAATGTCCGAACCTGTGTCTAGTAATGCGACACAGCGATGTCCCTGATGTACAGTGACCTCTACTGTGGGCCTACTAGACCCCTTCCTCACGACCAGAGGTGCGAGCAAAACTTTGTCAGCTACGGCGATAGCGGTACCGGGGCCGTCGTCCATGGGTGCATCGCCTAACATCGCCACGGATGGAACGACCGGTGAGGTGTTGTTGTTTTCCTGTGAGTCAGAACCTGTGAAAACATAAGCCTGCAGCATCTCCGTCACATCTGGCGGCTTCTTGGCCAAACAAGGGTCGCTGCCCGTGTCGTCTGAAAATCACGCACAAAATGTTTGACGCCCTCGACGTCTTGCTGAACATGCTCATCATGTTCCTTATCTCAGTCATCATCGGTAGGAGAGCGCTTTGCATCGCCGCCTGAAGTTGGGATGGTAATTGCATCGTTTCCTCTGAGCCCATCTTCCAATTAGTAATGTGTTCTTTAATTTACTAATTTCTCAGAAACAACCTTACCTGTAGACCTATTAAAGGATTAGTTACAGGGAAGCTTGGCTTTTGAATGAATATTTGGGGCAAAATCGTTTAGTAATGCCAAAAATATCATTCTCTTTTGACCTACCCAAGATGGCCGGTCGAACTACGTGTCGGGTAACCTAAGATGGCGGATTGTTGCGCATGCGCTGTCCGTCACTCGCCGTTTAGCCCTGTAGCAAATTCGATTCCACACACCGGAGCGTTTTACAAGAACCACCGATAATTTAACCGACTGTACTTTGTACCGGAAGGTTTAGCGGATTTTAGGACGCAGAATCGCTGCGTCAGAACAGTTTGACAGCTTATCGGGACGCGTTCCCCTGTCTAAACCGGGGTGGCTAGTTAGCTCTTCGGCTAAGCTAGCGAGTGTCCGGAGCGACCAGGACAAATTGCCCGATTAACCAAACGTGCCTAAGCGACGAGGTAATTAGGGACTTTAGCGTCTGCACTCTGGGGTGCAGATGCGCTCTTTGGTGTATAACCTCGGCTTATTGCGAATAATATTAGCAAGTTAAGCTAACTATTATGCTCGCGATGTTTACCGGGAATGGACAGACGCGGATCAGACGTTTTCCGAACGGAAGTAACTTCCGACGGGGATAAATCTATCTCCGATTTCACAAATATGTGCACACAGTGTCACAAACACAGCGACAAATAATAAAACAGACAGTTTTCAACGTACCAAGACAGGAAAAATATACCTTCATATGTAGGTCTCAAAATGGCCGCTAGTGCACGTCAGCTTTAAGGTGTTTTGATGAAACAGCGCCTCCTGTGGAGGGTGACGAGTGTGCAACCCCCCTTCAAGATAAAAGCTCTGCCTCAAGCTGAATGTGAAAAGCTCACTTTTTTCTTCTTTTTTTTCTGAACTCACACTGAACAAGATCCCAAATACGTCTCAAAATCGGCACAAAGTGTAATAAACTGTGCAGATATCAGGCTAGGCTTGCCAAAATGCTGTGATCTGTAGTTTGTATATTTATACACTGTAATTAGATCTAGATATTATAATCAGAAGTGGTTGTTTTTATCATCAGGGAGTTTAAACACTCTGTATTGACTGAGAGACAAGAAAAGAGAGAGTTGGGATCGTTTAAGAATATTTAATTTCTATAATTATAAATTCTTACAATCTACCAGGACTAACTCCGTGATGGATGCATATGGATTTGGATGTTTCGTGTTGGTGTGTGTGTGTGGTTCAGAATCTCTAGGCTGACGTAGGCGGATCTGGTTGTTATGACTACAAATCACGAGGCTTCAGAAGCTAATGACATGAGCAGCCATTTTGCCGTGACCACGTACCGTATGGAGCCTCCCGTGTTAGATCAGGAAATGCCAGGTCCTCGGACCTTCAGATGTACTGGAGCTGGTGGAGCAGCGGTCGCAGCACGACAAAGCCCGTCTGCGGATCGACTCCCAGTAGTAGCGGCAGGCGTCAGCGAGTTCAGCTCTTATTTTGAAGGGACGTCGTCTTGTTGTTCAAACGACGGAAATCTCCAGCTTGACAGTTCTCAGCTTAAAGTAGGAAAGTGCAGCTGGCCAGCCTGCAACTTTCTTAATGATGACGATGGAACTCCTTAGGACCTCCAACTGAACAGAACTGAGGTTAAAATGGAACTGAGTTTAAAATGGCGTTGCCTTGTTTTATATCCCCTAGTTGTTTACAAATCTTAGTAAACCGGATTGGACAACTTCATTAAACAACCCAGATTCTGCCCTACGACAGACGAAAGTTCTGATTGGTTGAGAACAATGTGTCATGCGTTTCCATGTTAATGTAGATCAGTCTGTCTGGTGCAGCCCTGTTTATTCATTAAACACATAACTCATGACATCTTTATTTCACAGATCATTCACCTGATTATTATTGATCAACATATGCTTTGATCAGCTTTATCACAAATAAAGTACTTTGATTAATTAATGGAAAGCATTCTTCTTCTTTTCTTCTGTCTCTTCTCCTGGAATGTAAACATACTGAAACCAGCATCCGACCTTGGCGATTCCTACACGTTGTTACTGTGTAAAGGGGCAGCTGTTAAGGGCAGACAATTATAATATTCATAACGCTACATGGACAAGCAGCATCCTACATTGTAAGTAAATACATTTTATTTCTATAGCACTTATCACAGACATAGAATCACAAAGTTCTTCACATAGATCAAAACAAAACAAAGTCATAGATTAACATCATAAAATCAAAATGATCTCAAAACAGAAATGGATTAACATCAGAAAAAATAAAGTCATACAATTATAAATTTTCATAAACAGATGAAAGATTAAAAAAATCCGAGTTAAAAATAAGAAAATAAAAGGTTTAGGTAAAAGCAGCTTTAAATAAAAGTGTCTTTAGCTGTTTTTTAAAAGTGTCTAGACTGTCAATGCTGTTTTTGGTGATCTTCTTATTCCCTACACCTCCAGCAGGTCCCTGAGGTCCAGTGATCAAAGCCTACTGGTTGTGCAGCGCACCAGGCTAAAGGTCAAAGGTGACAGATCATTTGCTGCTGTGGCCCCCAGACTCTGGAACTCTCTCCCCCTGAGCCTGAGATCAGTGGACTCAGTGGTCTCCTTTAAAAAGCAGCTGAAGACTCACTTGTTCAGGTTTTGGTGTGACCTCCTTCACCACTGTCTCCTTGTTCTGCTCTTATTTCACCTTTCCCGGGATCCACTGATTTCCCTCTTTCCTGTTCATTTTCTCTCTCCCTTTCCTTACATTTATTTTATTTTCTCCTTTTAAACTTATTTTTAATGATTTTTAAAATCTTTTTACACCATAACTTTGTTTTTTTGAAGCGCCTCACGATTTTGACCCTGAGAGGCGCTTTATAAAAGACTGTCTTCTTATTCTTGTCTGAAATGAAGCAATGGTAAAATGAAAATTACTTGAGCTTGACTGCAGATGAAACTGAGGTTCTCGTAATTGCACCTGACAAGGAAACTCCCGGAGCGCAGGTGTCACATTCGATTCTGCCGTGTCGTTTAACCATCATCATTAAAAATGCTTCTTTCACCTTAAAATAAAACCTTTCATTTCCAAGTCCAATCTGGATATGTTCATTCATGCTTTTGTTTCATCACACCTGGACCACTCTACCAGGCTTTTAGCTGGTCTAAACATCAAGCAGCAAAAACACAACTAGTGCAACATGCTGCTGCACGACTGCGGTCTGGAGTTCATAAACATTCCCACACGACTCCCGTCCTGGCCTCGCTCCACTGGCTTCCTGTGAATTTTAGAGCTCATTTTAAATTCCCAGCTTAAACTTTTAAAGCCCTACATGGTCATGCACCCTCACATATAACGGGTTTGGTGCAAACCTACACTCCTGAACGTTACCTGAGAAGGTCGGATGTTCCGGGCAGTCCCAAAATCCCACCTAGAGTCCTGTGGTGATGGCTCCTTGGCTGTGGAATGCTCCTCCTCTCTCTGCCATGTGTTGATTCCTGCTGCGTCTTTAAACTCTTAAAAACGTGACTTTTTAAATTTGCTCCATTTATGTTCATGTGTTTTATTCTGTGTAATGTGAAGCACCTGGTGATTTTTCCCTGTGAAAGGTGTTATAGAATAACGGTTACTTCCGCTTTTCCATCATATTTTTGTCATGGATGGAGGTTGTTGTAGGACCCAAGTGCAGTAAATCCAGGGGGCAGCCGTGTAGGTTATATATGTCTGCCTGTTCCTGATCCACACAAACACGAGGAAGCGATGGGCAGAGCTGGGTTTAAACAGACTGAGGCGGCGAGTGGAGACAGGTGTGACAGGGCACTGAGGGGAAACAAGGCAAGACAACAGAACTATGGGAAATGGAGGCTTGAACAAAACCAGATAAAACAATAAGAGATTATAACTAAAGGATGAAAGAATAGAAAACATAACTACAACTGAATTAGAAGGCTGGGGAAATGAACTAAACAACAACTGACTGTAGAAAATACATGAACTAAAAAAGAAATCATGTAAAAACCTGAAGGACAAATTAGGAGACCGGAGACGAGGGACATGGAAGGGACAGGGACACCTAGGAGGGAGAAACACGGAACAAACTGAGGAGACAAGGGACACAGGACATGACAATATTATTAATAGTGGTTTTTTTTGTCTGGACAAGAGTCCCATAAGTCCCACAGACAACCCACATGTCCTGCAGCAGAGCTACACGTGTGTTACAGTTGATTTAACACGCCTATGTCAGAGGGAGGACAGCAACCAATCCAAGATGGCGGCGCCACTGCTTTTAAGCACCAATAGGCAGTAGCGTTCAACCCAAGGCCTGCCTATCTATGTTTCCTCTGACCGGTGGTGTCTGTAAGGGCTACGTCACAAAGAACAAGTTCTTTTCTGCAGGTCTCCTTTGTACTGCAGCTGTGTGTTTATGGGGGGTGGTCTGTAGGAGCTGCTGGACAACAGCTACCGTCTCCTCCTCATGCCGGCCTCCAGGTGGCCGAGTTTCTCCCAGGAGTGGTAGAAGACCTCCAGTTCACAGCAGCCCCAGGCTCTCCAGACAACCAGGCTCCACTCTGAGCTCTTCTGAAAGCCACAGACAATTGTGTTGTTTGCCACTAGAGCTGCTTCTTCTAGAGTCCTGAGAGGTAGATAAGAACACACCTGAATCAGCAACACACACCCAAAGTCCTTCCTCGGTCAGAGGCCGAGCAGAAGTAGAGCTAACTGTTAAACGTAGTGCTTTGGTCCTCATCATCAGCTGTGGCCTTACCTAGACCAGTGTCATAATTATACACTTTACCTCGACCCTTGGCATAAAGGGGTGATGCAAGGCTCGTTTAAACCAGATGAACTACTTTAAATGAAGACGTTGGTATTAAGATATCAGGGCTAAAGCATCTGCATCATTACGGTTATGAGTTGGTGCCTGGAGCCATGTCACACACAGGGATGGGCTAACGGTCCAATCTGCTGCTTCTCGGTGGGGAGCTGCAAGTCAGCTGCTTCAGCGACTCTTCAGACCAGTCAAACAGAAATGTTCTGTCCAGAGCAGTCTAATGGAGGGCTAAACATCCGCAGGAACGCTCAGTTTCTACCACTTCTGTCCTTCTGACTGGAGCCGACAGCCCTGCAGACCTGCTAACCTGTACACCAACGCCAATTTGGCATCTAACTACGCCGGTACGACTCACCCGCATAAGCTACGCAAAAAGCTTTGGACACGTGAGTTCTGTAGCAAATGTGCACGTGTGGTACTCATGTCTGCAACACGACTCAACAGCGTGGTGAAGACTGTCTAACCTACAGTGTTAAGCTCGTTTCTCATTAATTCTCCACTAGAATCAACATCCCGTTGTAAAATTATTTTTGATTTTTTCCAATGTTTTTTCTTCTTAATTTAGAAACAAAATGTTTTTAATGACAACAAATCTTTTCTAGATTATGTGGTTGTGCACATCAACACTTGATACTGTAGCTAATTCAGTTGACGTTATGTGTACCAACCCTGCTTATGGATCACCTCAGAGACGGCCTGTCGATGCGAATATTTATTTATTTAATGAGATCAAAAGATGAATTATTACAAAAAACTGAAAAAGAAATACCAGACGAAGCTGAAGTTGGTTTCCTAATTTACTTTCAGTTTGAGACGGCAATTCCAACAAATGTCTCCACTTCCTGAGGATCTATACTCAGCTCTCATTACACATTTACAAAACTTAAAGGCGGACTAGGCTATTATGAACTAATAACAGAATTGTTAAGACATTTTCTGATTTTTAAAACCTTTGTTTCATTTGTGAAAGTTAAAATGATGCAGACCATCACATTTCTGGGCCACATTAGAACTGGCTCAGCTTAGATCTGGGCCAGCTTAGATCTGGTCCAGATTAGACCTGGTCCAGATTAGACCTGGTTCAGATTAGACCTGATTCAGCTTAGATCTGGTCTACCTTAGATCTGGTCCAGCTAATATCTCGTCCAGTTTAGATCTGGGCCAACTTAGATCTGGACCAACTTAGATCTGGTCCAACATAGATCTGGTCCAGCTCTAAACAACAACACCTAGAGTCTTTAATCCTGGACTACATTATTCTACAAAAACAGCAAAATCCATACCAGACAGTTGGTAAATTGTGAAATCTTTAGTAGATTAGTGAAAGTCCAAAGAAGGCAACTTTCTTCAGTGATGTATTGAAAGTTTGGATTATCATGTTTATGTTTATTTATTTGGCAGTCGCTTTCATCGAAAGCGATGTACAATTGTTGACCTATAGGGCATATTGTGATCTGTGGGGGAAACCGGATTACCCAGACGAAACCCACGCATTCATGGGGAGAACATGCAACTCCACGCAGAAAGGCCACAGCCGAGTTTTGAACCTGCAACCTTCTTGCTGCGAGGCAACAGTGCTAACAACTGCGCCACCATGCAGCACATTATGTTAGCAACATGTTTTTTTCAGTTGTACAGGTTTATTAATAGTAGGCTATGTTTATATGGGTCACCCATGAAATAAAACATTTTAAAATGAGAGCAGATTGAAGATGCAGGAAGTGGAAAAATTAGCTGGAATGAACCTTTCCACATTAGAAACTAGAAAGGGAACCAATTCAGCTTTGTACAAAACAAACAACAATACATTAATAAAGAAAAACAAGGAGAAAGAAGATATGAAAATGTTAGCCAAATTATTGAGAAAATAAATGTAATTAAAAAATTTGGGCCCTGCTTGCGACCCTCTAAACTACCTCACCGTGCATTTTGCTTAATCTGCAGTTACGATGTGAACGTAAGTAACCAGGGAGCTGCGGGTAATGTATAAGTTAGCCCTGGTGGTGTGTGTATAATTTAAAAATATTTTTTATTCATTTAGATTAATCAAGTATTGAAATGATTCAATGAACAGTAAGTAACTTCTGGCTATCAGCTTGTATAAGCATACATATTATTTAAGGTAACCAACTCCAACTTAATGATACTGTGGACTATTCAATAAGATATTTCCAGCCAGCTCCTCCTTGAACCGTCACCTTATCGTGGTGGAGGAGTTTGAGTGCCCTAATGATCCTAGGAGCTATGTTGTCTGGGGCACTTAGTGCCCCTGGTAGGGTCTCCCATGACAAATTGGTCTTAGGTGAAGGGTGAGACAAAGAACGGTTCGAAGGATCTTTCATGGCGGTTAAAACGAAGAGTCGGAGTACCCGGCCCGGAGGGTTACCGGGATCCCACCCTGGAGCCAGGCCTGGGGTTGGGGCCCGTGAGCGAGCGCCTGGTGGCCGGGCTTTCGCCCATGGGGCCCGGCCGGGCCCAGCCCGAACCGGATACATGGGCTCGTCCAACTGTGGACCCACCACCCGCAGGAGGAACATGAAGGGTCCGGTGCAATGCGAATCGGGTGGCAGACCAAGGCGGGAGCCTTGGCGGTCCAATCCCCGGACAAGAAAACTAGTTTTTGGGACATGGAACGTCACCTCGCTGGCGGGGAAGGAGCCGGAGCTTGTGGCAGAGGTTGAGCGGTACCGGCTAGATATAGTCGGACTCACCTCGACACATTGCATTGGCTCTGGAACCCGAGACCTGGAGAGGGGTTGGACACTCTACTTTGCTGGAGTTGCTCCGGGTGAGAGGCGGAGAGCTGGGGTTGGCTTTTTGTTAGCCCCGAGACTCTCTGCCTGTGTGTTGGGGTTTACCCCGGGGGACAAGAGGGTAGCTTCCTTGCGCCTTCGGGTCGGGGAACGGGTCCTGACTGTTGTTTGTGCTTATGGGCCAAATATCAGTTCAGAGTACCCACCCTTTCTGGAGTCCCTGGGACGAGTGCTAGATAGTGCTCCATCAGGGGACTCCATTGTCCTGCTGGGGGACTTCAATGCTCACGTGGGCAATGACAGCTTGACCTGGAGGGGTGTGATTGGGAGGAACGGCCCACCTAATCTGAACTCGAGCGGTGTTTTGTTATTGGACTTCTGTGCAAGCCGCAGTTTGGCCATAACGAACACCATGTTCGAACATAAGGATGCCCACCGGTACACTTGGTACCAGGGCAGCCTAGGTCACAGGTCGATGATAGATTTTGTAGTCGTATCATCTGACCTGCGGCCGTATGTTTTGGACACCCGAGTGAAGAGAGGGGCGGAGCTGTCAACTGATCACCACCTGGTGGTGAGTTGGATCAGATGGCAAGGGAACATGCCGCGTAGACCTGGCAGACCCAAACGCATAGTGAGGGTCTGCTGGGAACGCCTGGCAGAAGAACCTGTCAAGACGGTCTTCAACTCCCACCTCCGGCAGAGCTTTGACCACGTCCCGAGAGCAGTGGGGGACATTGAGTCCGAGTGGGCCTTGTTCCACTCTGCGATTGTCGAGGCGGCTGTTGCTAGCTGTGGTCGTAAGGTGGCCGGTGCCAGTCGTGGTGGCAACCCCCGTACCCGCTGGTGGACACCAGAGGTTCGGGGAGCCGTCAGGCTGAAGAAGGAGGCCTACAGGGCGTGGCTGGTCTGTGGGTCTCCGGAGGCAGCAGACAGGTACCGGATAGCCAAGCGGGGTGCAGCAGTGGCAGTTGCCGAGGCAAAATCGCGGGCGTGGGAGGAGTTTGGTGAGGCCATGGAGAAAGACTATCGATCGGCTCCAAAGAGGTTCTGGCAAACTGTCCGGCGCCTCAGGAGAGGAAGGCAGCAACTCGCTCACACTGTTTACAGTGGGGATGGGGAGCTGCTGACGTCAACTGAGGCTATAGTCGGACGGTGGAAGGAATACTTTGAGGAGCTCCTCAATCCCACCAATGCGCATTCCGAGGAGGAACCAGAGCTGGGAGGCCTGGGGATGGACTGTCCGATCTCGGGGGCAGAAGTTGCTGAGGTAGTCAAACAACTACACAGCGGCGGAGCCCCGGGGGCGGATGAGGTTCGTCCTGGGTATCTCAAGGCTATGGATGTTGTAGGGCTGTCATGGTTGACACGTCTCTACAACATTGCGTGGTCATCGGGGGCAGTTCCTAGGGAGTGGCAGACCGGGGTGGTGGTCCCCATCTTTAAGAAGGGTGACCTGAGGGTGTGTTCCAACTATAGGGGGATCACACTCCTCAGCCTCCCGGGAAAGGTCTACGCCAAGGTACTGGAGAGGAGGGTCCGATCGATAGTTGAATCTCAGATAGAGGAGGAGCAATGTGGTTTTCGTCCTGGCCGTGGAACTGTGGACCAGCTCTATACCCTTGCAAGGGTGATGGAGGGGGCATGGGAGTTTGCCCAACCAATCCACATGTGCTTTGTGGATTTGGAGAAGGCTTATGACCGTGTCCCCAGGGGCACCCTGTGGGGGACGCTCCAGGAGTATGGGGTGGGTGGCTTTCTGTTAAGGGCCATTCAGTCCCTTTACCAGAGGAGCGTGAGTTTGGTCCGCATAGCCGGTAGTAAGTCGGACCTGTTCCCAGTGAGGGTTGGACTCCGCCAGGGCTGCCCTTTGTCACCGGTTCTGTTCATCACTTTTATGGACAGAATTTCTAGACGCAGCCGTGGTGTGGAGTGTGTCGAGTTTGGTGGCAGGAGAATCTCGTCTCTGCTTTTTGCGGATGATGTGGTCCTCCTAGCTTCATCCAGCTCTGACCTTCAGCTCTTGCTGGGTAGGTTCGCGGCCGAATG